ATTTCTTTTGTTGTTTAGCTCAGATGAAGCTCTATTCATCAGGCCCACCAATCAGTGCCCCCACCCCCCCTGACCCCCAATTTGTCTGAAATAGGGGTATCTGGACATACAAAAATGCTTATAACTTAGAAACTGTTCAGCATAGCAGCTTCAGATTTCTTTTGTTGTTAAGCTCTGTTAAGGGGCTATCCACTAACCATCAGGTCAACCAAAAAAAAAGACCCCCACCAAAGCCACTACAATTTTGTGATGCACCTAGTAGCACGACATTTATTAGGAATAAAGACTCCTGAGTTCTGGTGCATTTGTGCGTGTGGGGGTCGTTATGTTACCTCTATGCGGTGTCTAGTTTATAACCAGCATCACCTTCTCTGGTTCCAGTATTCCTCTTTCATCAGCAGTCACAACTCTTGGTGTAAAAATAGAGCCCCCTGTTCACTTTTGAATCTCATATTAACCACCTCTGCAAGACCTCCTTCTATCACATTTGGAACATTTTCAAAATCAGCCCCATTCTCTCCCTTATGACATTTTTTTTAGTAAAGTGTTTGGTTCACATTCTTAGATTTTATCCTACTGGCTTTGATCTCTGTTATTTTTCTTATCCATTGTAATTGCTCGCCCCATTTTTAGTCCTTTGTAGTTATTTGAGATCGTAAGAAGAAAATGGCACTATAAATAAAATTATTATTTTTTAATTAATTATTTTTCATTGCAGCCATACCAAGCAGGGTCAGGCCTGGTTAGTACTTGGATGGAAGACCACTTGGGAATACCAGGTGTCATAAAACCAATGTAGGAGTTGTGCCCACATTGGAATACTAGCAATGGAAAACTTTTGACCATCATAGGACATACAGTAAGTCACCTCCTACTGAAGGATGACAAGTAGTAGTAGTATTACCCCATCCAAAAAAGCCAGCTTGTTAGTGGAAACGCTGATATCCTGTATRTGAAACCGTTTGAAGTCTTTAGTTGTTTCTGATGGTTTGCCTGTCTGTCACCCAGCTGTAGGTGTTGGTTCCTGGTGCTTCCACATGACACTGCTGTATGAGATGCAGGTGAGCAACACCTCTGGAGCTATATGTACTATGGCAGCTTGATATGAGAAAATATTACGACGGTGATCATTTTTGTAAATACTATGATGACAATATGAGGTGTGATGTCTTTTTTCCCCTCCCTTTCTAAACTGTACTTCCTACTCTRTGTGAACTTTAGCATTTTTGACATTGTCATTGGTGTTTGGCGTGAGCTTTTGCTGCCGTGAAACTCTGTCCTACTGGCCAAATATTGCATTAGCATGAAAAAGGCACTTGAAAACTCTTTAAAYACATTAGTCAACAATTATTGCACTCCAAGCAGTTCTTTGCAATACGAATATTTTGCACACTGATATTGCAATGACGGTATTTCCGCAATATATTGTGCAGCCCTGATACATACACCCAAAACATATGAATGGATATATACATATATGTGAGTATAATGTACACTGACCAGCCACTTTATTATGTCCACCTGTTTATTTACTACAAACAGCTAATCAGCCAATCACATGGCAGGAGCTCCCTGTCTTTAGACATATAGACGTGTTGAAGACGAGTTGGTGAATTTCAAAATGAGCACCAAAACCAGAAAGAAAAAAGATTTGAGTGACTCTGAATGTAGCCAGATCATCTGTGAGGATTTTTATTAAACCACCTTAAAGGTTTACAGAGAATGGTCCAAAAAGAGAAAATATCCAGTGAGAGTTTCTGAGGACCAACCAGCCTTGTTGATGTCAGAGGA